GTGAGGAGAATGCCATTTGGTTTGCTACTTTGAACAGAGTTGGTAGTTTCTTCATAAATGAACAACTGAGTCACGTACCATTATCCTTAATCTTTTGAGTCTAGATTACAGCAACTTATTCTAATTTATTCATGTGATGTTTATGTTACTCTAGTTCCTAATAAAATCCAAAGTATTTTGTACTCTGTATGTATAGATGCAAACTGACCTCATAGAGGTTTTTCTATTGCTGTTGTTTTGCTGCTATTTTTATTTATTTAAGTTTTCATGAGGCAGAAATGCAATGCATCAAGCGACTTTCTTTTTGAGAACATAAATGCACAATAATTAGGGACCCAGAGAGTTTTAAGAAGTACAAGATTAACCCTGCAATAATGCAAGCTCACATCTGCAGCCAGTCTAAAAATGTCAACAGACTTAATTTGCTTCAGTTCAAATGTAATTTGTTTCCCAGCATTTACTTGTGAAAATAAATTGGTGAGTATGCTCATTTAAACCCATTTGCTACTTAATTTTTATTGAATCTTTTTCAAGTAGGCTGCTGGGAAAATAATAAACCTGTGCAGGTTCATATTACTGTAAATTTGTGATTTATAGCCACAAAAGTATTTCAACGTTGCCTAATGATTCTTCTAGTATTTTTTGATATTGTCTTTCTAAAGACCAACTGTCTTTTCTATGCTTCTATATGTACATGTACAATTGATTTCTGGATACCTATACTAGAAAATCACTCATATACACCCCTAATTCGATTTATGCATAAGTAGTTCAAACATCCCCCTCTCCCTTGCCATCTTGTTTGTCCATCTGGTCCTCTTGTGTTTCTTTCTCTTTCCTTAGGTCAACAGCCTTTGAGACCCCATAATTCTACTATTTTATTATTTCAAAATTCCACCAGCATTGTTATATTTCTATTGGCACTGTATTAATCAGTCAGCACTACTGTTTCAGCAGATTAGTATCAAAAGTGTCTGAACTCTTCTAATGGTACTAACAATATGTTCCTGGCCCTGCAACTATACTGATGTCACTGAAATAAAATCTTCCCTTTTTAATCCACTATGTGAAGTCTTCAAGAGGCTTTCCGTTGACCTCAGATAAAATACAAGCTCCTTTACTGACAATGCCTGCCCCTTCTTAATATAATCTCTCTCTAAATCAAGAATTTATCGTCCATCATAATTCCTTCTCCCTCTACACTTAGAAGCTCCACTTCTCTTATTTTCTTAAAGGTGTTCAGTGTCACACTTAGTTCAAAATCTTTAGATAGATGTTTTCTACTGGAATACTTCTTCCTTGGCAATTTTCCCAGATGATTTCATCATCTGAGCTTAGAACATGTTTCCTAGATTGGATTAAATGTCCATAGCCCTCTAGACTATTTTTTTTAAAGTAACTTGGTGATGTTGCTTGACTAATAATCGTACTCCTTCATTAAGTTCTTACTTGTTTATATCAAAACTTTATTTCACTTGATCATTGATAAATTTCTACTCTATAGTATATTGCCTTGCACTTAGACTGGGTTGAAATATATGTGTTTAATGTATTTCTTTAAATGTTTAGCAAGATTAATAATTTAAATCCAGAAGTTAAAATAAATATGATTATGCAGAACATTAATTCTATAAAAATTATATTATTAACTTTTCCATATGCATATCAATATCATATATCACTGATAGAGTTTGAATGTGTTGCCCCACCCAAGCTCATGTGGAAATTTGATCCTGAATGTGGCAGTTTTGGAAACTGATTGAGTCTTGGGGGTGGATCCTTCATGAATGGATTAATGCTCTCCCAAGGTGGGGGGATTAATAAGTGAGTTTTTACTCTACTAGTTCCCATGAGAGCTGGTTGTTTAAAAGACTCTAGCACCTCCCATCTCTCTCTCTTTTGCTTCCTGTCACCATATGATCTGCTTGTACCTGCCAGCTGCCTGCCACTTTCTGCCATGAGTAGAAGCAGACTGTGGCCTCTGCCAGAAGCAGCTGTCCCAGAATCGCAAGCCAAATAAACCTCTGTTCTTTATAAATTACCCAGTCTCAGGTATTTCTGTTATATCAACATAAAATGGACTAATACAATCACTTACATGAACTTATATTTTTTAGACATGATATGTAGAACCAAATTTGCATGGAGATAATTTATAACTCAAATTTTATTTCTACATGATCTAAAATAGCCATTAAGCTGTTGGATTTACCATAAATATTTAATATGAATTAACAAATTGATCACATCTTATAATGGCATAAAATTATTTTAATAATATTTCGTAGTCATGATATAGTAGAAAATGCGGGGATTTTGAACCTTAAAAACCTAAATTTTAATCCAAGGTATGCCACTTACTTGCTAGGTGAAACTGAACAATAACAAAAATGAAAGCTACCATTTACTGAATGATTCAGATGCTTACATAGTCTAATTCAATCTTCGATACTACCTTATTAATTACATGTACTTTCCCCCAGTGTATCTGTGTAAAGGAGATTAATGCTCTGTTGCCTATGAATACGGAAAGAATACATAATGTAACTGAGATTTAAAGAGAGTGTTTTTCTATTATACTCATTTACCTTTCTTAGAATCTGAGTTTTATTGTAAGGATTACAGCATGATTTTCTCAGAGAAAGCCCTCAATAATTGGTAGTTACTTTAAAAAAAAAATTAGGTCAATATATTAAATCTCCGAATCTCTGTTTGGTTTTCTGCTTTCTGGCAATGATGTCATTCAACAGAATTGATACCCTGGCTCCCTGTTTCATACCAGCAATGAGTGAGGAAAGAGAAAGTTACTACTGTATTACTTTTGTTTATAATACGTTCATTACTCCATTGTACCCTTCCTTTCCCTCTTTGCCTGTCACCCACCCATCATTCCTGCAGAAGAAGTTGAGTGAAAACCTCCTGGATTACCAGTGGGAGGATCATGATTGTCACCAGCAAGCACTTTCAGGCTTATGTTTTTATGAAAATATTATAAAAAAAATTGTATTTAAACCATATTTATTCTTATTTTGTGTGGTTTTAAGGTGCCTTTCTAAAACTAATCAGAAGAGAAATACTTATATCTGAAGAAAATTGAAACTATCCAAAAAAGAAAAACCTTGACTCTTGCTGTTTTTCAGTTAGATTGCAGCTTGGTTTTAAAAGACTATACAAGAGACTGTAGTAAGTTTCTTGTTTAATTATGTCATGATACCACAACTTTTCAACAGTGGGGGATTACATAATGGCTGGACCAGATCAATACATCTTGGTCATGTTTTTTCCTGGCCTTGTTTCCCAAAGAAGGTCCCAGCTGCTGATGATACTGTCCTTGTGGTATAGGCTATTGCTTGATCTAAGAAAACAGCTAAGTATTTTCTATATTATTAAGTAATTTGGAAAAAAAAATTCACTAAAATTGTATGTTTTTCTGTTTAAAGGACTATTTAGAACACTTGAATTCTACTGTTTCTTGATCAGAGTCCACTGTCATTAAAACCACTTGCACTTTGGGAATAGGAGAAAAAAGTGAATTCCCTCGAATCCGGAAACAACACCTCTGCATGAAAATTTCCAGCAATACTTAAAGACCATTTTGTGGCAATTCTTTACGACACTTTTATGATAAATTGTAAAATACGATTGCCTAGAAATGATTATCAAATCAATTATTCTTCTGACCCTGGTGGTTTTTTACAGCCCTTTTATAAATGGAAATCCAAAATGTAAACGGCGATTGGTGGAAGAATGGCATCCACAACCCTCATCGCATGTGGTGAATTGGACACTGACAGAAAACATCTGCACCGACATCTACANTCACTAAAATTGTATGTTTTTCTGTTTAAAGGACTATTTAGAACACTTGAATTCTACTGTTTCTTGATCAGAGTCCACTGTCATTAAAACCACTTGCACTTTGGGAATAGGAGAAAAAAGTGAATTCCCTCGAATCCGGAAACAACACCTCTGCATGAAAATTTCCAGCAATACTTAAAGACCATTTTGTGGCAATTCTTTACGACACTTTTATGATAAATTGTAAAATACGATTGCCTAGAAATGATTATCAAATCAATTATTCTTCTGACCCTGGTGGTTTTTTACAGCCCTTTTATAAATGGAAATCCAAAATGTAAACGGCGATTGGTGGAAGAATGGCATCCACAACCCTCATCGCATGTGGTGAATTGGACACTGACAGAAAACATCTGCACCGACATCTACAGAGATTGCTGGTTATTGGATGTAAACACTAAAATGAATACTTCAGGCAATCGAGTTGTTCCCCAGATTTGCCCGTTGCAAATTCAGTTAGGAGACATCCTTGTAATTTCTTCCGAACCATCTCTTCCATCTCCAGAAATAAATATAATGAATGTTTCTGAAGCATCTTTCATTGACTGTCTGCAAAATACCACAAATGAAGATCAGTTACTTTTTGGTTGCAAGCTAAAAGGGATGCACACTGTCAATCCTAAATGGCTGAGTGTTGGAACACATTACTTTATTACAGTAATGGCAAGTGGTCCATTGTTTTGTCAACTGGGACTTCGACTAAATGTGACAGTGAAACAGCAATTCTGCCAGGAATCTCCAAGTTCAGAATTTTGCTCTGGTCATGGAAAATGTCTTAGCGAAGTTTGGAATAAGATATACAGCTGCCATTGTCAGCCTCCATTTTCTGGAAAATACTGCCAGGAATTTGATGCATGTTCATATGAACAATGTAAAAATAATGGCAGTTGCATTAATAAAAGAGAAAAATGGCATAAGCAAGGATATGAATGTATCTGTTGCCCACCATGTACAGGTAAGATTATTTTTAAAAATCACTTGTTTATTAAAATAGGAAAATAAACTGAATTCATAAACTCTTACTTACCAAAAAAAAAGCTACATTTTACAATTTTTTGTAGATTCCTTAGAATGGGCTGAATTTGAATTCTAGACGCATAAAAATCCTATCAGGCATCTTTTAAAATAGGATTTTTTCTTATTGAAAGAGGGTTTCTTAGAAACATAT